AGTCAAGACAGGTTTCAGGTTCAAGTATACATTGATCCCCCAAGCCCACAGCTCCCTGCTCCACCCATTCCCAGCCCATTCTCTGCCTCCTTGCACTTCACTTTATAATTAGTCTTCTGTGGCCCCATGCCCCCTGAGGGTTATCGCAGGGGTTCTTCTGATGAAATGTCTTCCTCAGGTATTTCCTACTTGACCTTGTCTCTGGGCAAGCACAGTAGATGTTTGCCTAACTCCCAGGTCAGTTTGTTCTGGCCAAAACCAGGAGCCTGGTTCTTGCTGGTTTGGGTTCTGCTTTATGGATTTTAACAATACCTAAGTCTTGCTTTACTGAGCTTAGACAAAATATTTTTATCACTTTTACCTAGCAACTAAATTCCTGTGTGTTCTCTTACAAATTGTTTCTACCTAACAAATTACATTCCTGTTACAAGCTGTTACTTCTGCAGACTTGGTAAATAAGCTATATATTTCTGCTTCTATCCACCCAGTACATTATGCTTCTAAAATTCTGAATAATCATAGACATACGTGTTTCCCATATCACTTAATGTATAGTTTAGGAGAAGTTTAGGAGAAGAACCCTCTGGAATTAATGTTTTCTCTAACAAAAAATGAGGCCCAAACAATCCCTCTCTGCCAATGAGAAAATTAATACTAGTGGATGAAAGTGAAAAAACCCCAGCCATTTATTGACAGAGTGTCAAACTGGTACAGGGAAAAAAATGAACAAATGGTAGATGCTGAATTGTCAGAACCTCACCCCCCAACTCCCATCCCGACCTCCTTTCCCCACATACACACACACACACACTGAAACAAAAACAAACAAAAACAAACAAACAAACAAAAACAAAACCCACCAAAACAAAACAAAAAACCCCCACCCCAAAATACCACGGAAAGAAAAAAAAACAACAGCCAAGCACATCGCAAGGACGAGGGGGAAATAAATGGTGACAGGTTTTGTCTCAGGAAGGAAAAAATAACCAAAAAGTTTCACACACCAGTTGAGGAAAAAATCAGATGGGAAACCTGGTAGATCTCTGTTGTTGGTCTCCTCTTCACAGCCACTAGATGAAGCTTGTGGTTTTAGAGTCTTTTCTTTCAGTGGGTCAGCTTTTCCGAGGTCTGGGGCTAGGATGGAGTAGCTGCTTGGGTCCCCACCAGTCCCCTGCTTATCCCATCATTAATCTTCTTGACCTCAGACCAAACCGAACAGTTCAGGAAAAAAACAAAGGCTGCCAAAGGATTGTTGTCACAGTCTGCAAGGCCAGAGAAAGGGAAAAAAAATATTTTGCCTAAGCTAACAAAAAACTAAGCTAGCTAAGCAACAAAGAGAGCCCAGTCCACCCATACCATGGACACCTTTTGAAAAGGCTTTGAAAAGGCCTCCACAAGAGCCCCAAGGTTCCCCCTTGCCCTGGGCCCGTCTTAAAGCTACCACAACCATTTCTGGGTTGTGGTAGAGCAGATGATCATAGGGATAGAAAACCACCCCAAGATGCTCCACCACCATTTCAGTCCTCCTGCCCAATATCATTCTACTTCAGTATTTTTACAAGGTAAAACGAAATGGATTCTCAAAGCATATAAATGGATTCTCAAAGCATAAGACAGAAATGCAGGAGAGATCTGAGGATGGAGCAGCTCTCATCTGAAGAAAGGCCAAGAGAGCTTGTTCAGCCTGCAAAGGAGCAGGCCCTGGGGAAAGCTTATTTCCACCCCTTAAAGACAACATTGGACTGTGAGGGAAGCCACCTAGATAGGATAAAGGGGACACTTTTGTTCAATCATCTCAGGTCTAGGGAGAAGCAAACAAGGCAGAGGGAAAGGAATGCATCCACAAGAAAGACAAGCACAGCAGAAAACCCTCCCTTGACGGAGACCACAGCCAACAGAGCTGTGGTTTACACAGTCTCCCCCTGAAACGCGGAGGGGGTGGAGGTTTCAAGTGTGTGGTGTAACGTCTGGTCAGAGGCACGGAACACCCATCCTCCCTTACAGAAACTGGCCCATCTGTGAAGCCCAAACCCTGGTAAGGCCACATCAGTGGGATGTTCACATGGGAGGCAGCTGATGGTGTGTAATAATCTAATAATCCATCAAAGCCTCTCCCTGGCTCCCCTGCAAGTACTCCTCAGACTCATTCCTGAGGCCTTGTACCACAGCACTGCTCATGACTCAGGAGGCAAAGTAATGTAATCAACCCAGAGTCTGCTGCAGGGCAGTGTCAAACTGCACACCCCCCCCACCCCCCACACCCCCTCCAGGGGAGGTACCTGGGCATTTCCATCTGGCCTGAGCATATATTAATCCATTAGCTCCTATGCTTTTTGGGGGACCCTCACCACCAAGAATACCACCTGGAGAGGATCATCGGGATGCCAGTGAGATCCATGGAGTGGTGATATTTCCTTAAATCTGTCTCTGTCACTCTCTTTCTGTTCCCCCAGCCTCTCATCTATTTTTCTCTCCTCTTCCTTTTACTCTCCTTTTCTTGTTCTCTCTCATATTCATTACTAAATAAAACTTATACTATTGATGTTAGCATATGGTTGCATTTGCCCATTAATTCAGGCAGAGGCATTTCTAATAACTTTAATAACTGGACCATGACACTCTTGTGATGGATGTGAGTTCCAGTGGCTTCAGTTTGACCAGGCTGAGCAGTGTATAGAACTGCAATTTGCATGGGTTGTTAGTATGAATGAAGAATTCTCTAAAGGTTATGGGCATTCCTGTATGAATTTGAACTTGGATAGTCAGAAAAGTAAGAGAGAGTAACAGAACTCATTACCATAAAGAAATCATGATGAAATCTGAAAAAGTGAGAAGGTGATAAGTAAGCCATTTCACCATGTTATCCTCTATACTATGGTTAAAGAGTTTTTACTCAGATGAAAACTGGCTACATCCACTATGAGAGCGAATGGTGATTTTTGGTTTCAAGACTTTCAAAACTTGGTGCATTTGTCTAGTACAACCTCTTTCAAGCATGTAAAAGCACATTCTATATGCACCACTATAGTTTTTCTGAACTAGAATAGGTGGGAGATTTATTATTAAAGTGGTGGTAGTTTCTTTGTCCTTTCAGAGATGCTGGTATCTGATGCTCTAGGGAATCCATGGACCTCAGTAGATAAAAATTAACACATTTACTAGGGAAGACTTTTTCCCATAATGTTCCTATACTTACAGTGCTCTCTATGAAGTAACTTATTTTGCAGATTATGAAAGGTGCAGATTATGCCCCAGTTCAGACTGACTAGTCTGTGCTATTCAGACACAGTCAGCTACATATTTTTAGAATAAGATGCTGACACAGCCTGTTTCTGTTAAATGACTCATACAATTTTTATTTTATTAGAGATTGTCTCTAATTTTAATATATAATTACCTCTTCACAGATTAATATCAGAGAAATTGAAGGGGTGAGCCATTTTGCATTGTAATTTTGTCACTTAGCAGAAGAATATAAGCTTTTCATTCACCTCTTTTTAAATAGTTTGTAAGATAAGAATAAGAAAACAAAGTACTCTGTAACAGAATATTCATAATTATAAATGAAATATCAGTAAATGATTTTTTTTCTACCTGGAAAACTGTTTTTAAAAAATGGTTTGCAGATGGAGATTTTGTCAAAACTTGAGAAGTGGCTGGGCATCAGTTACTTAGTGGTGTGCAATTGTTTTTTGTGCATCACTCCTTCATCTTGTGTTTGGTGTTGTCTTGGGTTTTTTCCCCCAATTATTACTTACCTTAAGCGACAGGTTTTTGTACTTTTTGTCCTTCTGATTCTCTTGTCCATCCTTTTGGGTACAGTGATCAAGCTGTTCTGATGTTTATCAACAAAATGCTTTATCAGGAGAGCTGTGACTGCCCAAAAGTATTGTATTTAGAAGGTCAATGATCTTCGAAACCAAGAAAACGGCAGGGTTGGGCATAGTGAAAAGACATTTTCAGTTGACTGTTGTTATGATTAAAGGTAAAAAATATTAGGGATTGCTTTTAACATAGGCAATATAGGAATCACTACTCTCTGGAACTGGTGTTCCAGTTGAACATACTGTTGTCTTGTTGCAAACTTAGTAATCACAAAAGTTTGCATACCTAATAGAATGCGTTTTTTTTTTTAAATATAATTTTTTCTTTCTGTGTATAATTGCATATGTAGATTTAATGCAGTATCTTCTTCATATATTGGAAAATTTCATTTCCTTCTCAAGTGAATTTGTCAGCTTATACCAAAAATACTGCAAAGGTGAAAATTTTGAGGTTTATATGTATAATGAGGTCCTATTTTAAAAACAAAATATAACTCTAATAGAAATACAACTTTCTGGCCAGAAAAAAAAACCTAATAATTTTTTCATGTTTAATTTAATTTTACTGTAAACTAAATAGTACACAACTGGTACCTTTATACAAAACCTATTCATCAGTTAATGTCTCTCCTTGTTAAGAGACAAGAGCATGATTTAAAAAAAAAAAAAGTGGAAAAATGGGCCCTTTTTGTTAGCCAAAACATGGTGTCAAAGGAAATACAACTGTGAGGGGAGTTCCAATTACAGTACTACTGTACCACCTATCACACATTTTAATTTTGAAACAGAATTTTTAATACCTTATCCATACCTCTGGCAATTCGCAGACTTTTGATGTAGCAGAATGGGCAGGAAAGCTGACAAATGGAAATATGATTACAGTGATATGATTAGAGTATACATTATACATTAGAGTGAGTGAGAGATAGCCAAGTAAGACTAGGGATGCCGTAGTGTGACCTGACATGCATCACATAAAATGGTTGCTCTCGGTGAGTGACTAACTTTACCAGTTTTGAGAGCAATTGAAAAAGTGCGATGTTTGACACTTCTTGCAGTATTGCTTGATCTGCCCTGGATACTACTCCTGCTACGTATGCAGAGTCTGTAATCAGATTAAATGGTTCTGAGAACCTTTCAAAAGCCCTAACAACCGCAACTAATTCATGCATGTAATTAATGCCCTAATTCAGCAACCTGAGGTGAACCTTCCACCTCAGCAACGTCTGTCTCCCACTGCTGGGTTTGAGGATCCTTCCAAGTCATAACAGACTTGTGGGACCTCCCGGACGCATCTGTAAAGACAGTTAGAGCCCTTTTTAAAGGTCTCTTACTTAGAGCACTTCTCAATTTTAAAGTAAATTGAACATCTTGTTCAAACAATTTGTGAGCGGGCCGCGCAACCGAAATTTGTCCTGAGTAGGAATCCAGAGCAAACTGCAACACTTCATTTTCTTGAAACAATTGTTCCAGTATTTTCATAGTGTTTTGATCTGATTTTAACTCAACTGGAATGTGAATGCACTTAAAATCACATCCTGCTAACTCCCTGATCCGGGTCCTTGCTTTCCGGATCAGTTCCGCTAACAGCTCCTGAGGATTTGTCAGTCTCTTGGACCTTTTGTGACTGAGGAAAACCCATTCTATGATCAAGAGAGAG